CATGTCTCTTTTTTTTTTAACTGTTCTTTTTTATTTGCTTATGTTTTTTCTTATTTTCACTTTGTTAGAATCTAGGTAATCCTAACTTTTTACTCTTACATGTTCAGGAAGAACTCCCTTTTATTTAGAAGTTAAAAAAAAACCCACAAAACCCAAACTTGTCTTATGTATTGGGATGACAGGTGAGTAATTGCATTTCAGCATTTCCCTGATATAAATTTTTTCCATCCAGTCTACCATTAATCTTGCATGGAGCCTCAATGCCATAGAATTGATGGCATCTCTTTAAATTTTTGAATAGAATTGAGCTCTGTGCTTGTTATTTTTAGGAAGTTAGCCTGCATTTTGATTTTTAAGAGTGTTAAAACCCGAAAGGATGGTTTAGTTTGATGGGATGAAAATTGGTGTTTGATGATGAATTTAGAGGTCTAAATCTAAACCTTAGGGGCATTCAACTTACTAGTCTGAATAGGCTGTGAATTTATGTTTTCAGTTCAACTTTGCCACATGATTTCATTATGGTTTTATTTATCAAGCTTTAATAACTTAAGATGGCTTCATTCAAAAAGGAGACTTCTTTGAAATGGCTTTAATTATGCCTTTTATGTGTTCTGTTGAAAGTAATCTCGCTTGTCCTTATTTTGCAGTGTGGTGCAGTTTATCACAGTGAGCATTCAAAGTTGTGCCTAGATAGTTTCTGTAATTAGGAATTTCACTTTGCTGTGATGATGCATTGGTGCAGATTCTTGAAGCTCAGTGAGATTTTCAATACTGGAGCCCATTCATAATATTAAATATCGTAGGAAAATATCAGTGGAAATTTTCCAGCTACACAATAGTTCCAAAATTACTTCAGGAATCAAGATAAGAAGATTTTTGCAGCTAGGGGAAAAACCCCCAGCAGAAGACTTAGAAGAATTATTCAGGTCTAAATAAAAATATTTAATGCTTACAGTAACAGCAGTAGCGTAATACTTTAGAGTTAAACTGCTTACATCATAGCTGTGATCTTTAATTTTTGCCCCTAAATTTTATGTTTTCATTGACATATGACTTTCTTACGTACTTTCTGTATTGCCATTTTCATTAATACTGTATAAAGGAATTTTAGGAGTTGTTTAAAGCACATATGTGGTTCCTTGGGGATGTGTTTATGATACCTCTTTTTCTTCAGTAGGGATATGTCCTCAGCACCTACTACTCCTCCATCAGTGGATAAAGTAGACGGATTTTCTCGGAAGTCCGTCAGAAAAGCCAGACAGAAGAGGTCGCAAAGTTCCTCACAGTTTAGGTCCCAAGGCAAACCTATTGAGTTAACACCTCTGCCGCTGCTAAAAGGTAAGGCTTAAGACCAGGTGATAGATTCCTTTATCAGTTGATTTCTCCAATTAGTTTCCTTTTTTTGAAGCCTTTCATTATCTGTTACAAATATATTTGTTATATGCCATGATGACCACAAAATGTATGATTTCACAGGAAATAGACCTAGTAGAAGGGATGGTACCATAACTTATATATGGAAGATGGTATGTAAATGAAGTTTTGAAAATTGAGGAAAAGATGGTCTATTTGTAATTGGTTATATGCATTCTTGTTTTCTGGTAGTACAAAAATAGAAAATGATCATTATATTTAGATCATCAACAGAAACTAGAAATGATCATCATACTTGTTTAACGTCTTTTTCTTTTTTTTTTGTTAATGAGTTAAGAACAACTTTTTAATTTTGGAAAGGGATCTTTTCCCCCCATCCCTAAATTAGATCTTTTAACTTTTGTTTGCGTGTGTGTATAGATTTTGTCCCTTTTGAGTATATTCTCTTTGCTTTATGCTTGTGAATAGACATTGTTTGAAATGTATCAGCACAGCCTTAATGTCTTACAAACTATAAAACTAAGCACTTGTAAAGTGAGTTTTTGTCTGCTGAAAAATGAGTTGGGGAAAAGGGACATGAACGGCATGATATACTATCCTGACTAGAAGGAAGTAAAATAATTTGGCTTGCTAATATGTTAATGCACAGTTTTGTAACAGTTTTGTGAAATCACATTAATTACAAGAAAAGCTGGTGTGTGATTGGAAAAATTAATGTATCTAGGATATTTCAAACTTCTGGTTTTCTCATGGGAACTTTTTGTTTCTTGTAAACAGGTACTACATGCATAAATAACATTTCAATATATATACCTGAAATTCATAGACACGAAATGAATATTGATTACTGTGAAGACGAGAACACACACACACATCCCTACACACCCCTCTCTTAAGAGTATTTAGTAGAAAATTTTGGCTTAAAAGTTCCGTTGATAAAATTGAAAATGGTCTTTATAAGATTTTAGAAGGAAAAATACCCCACTGCTGTCAAGTTGGTGCAACTCATAATGACCCTATAGCACAGGGTAGAACTTCACCATAGGGTGTCTGAGGCTGTAAATCTTTATAGGACTAGACTGTCTTTAATTTTTACCCCCTGCAGAGCAGCTGGTGGGTTTAAACTGCTGATGTTTCAGTTAACCAACTGTGCTACTTAATGGAAGGAAAAACTCTCTGGGGATAGAACTAACTGCCTGACATACAAAGTTGGGAGGCATAGTGTTTTATTTATTTAATCTGAGGTGAATGTGTAGTAGTTTTTGATAACGGTTTCTGGCAGAGAACTTTTTTTTGAGGAAGCAGATTAGGCATTTTTAGGATTAGGTGGAGTTTTAAACTTAATTGCTGCACTGATTTCTTAAAGCTCAGGGTAAGCATTTAAATTAGAAGATAATTGAGCACTTATTGCCAGAAGATGGTGTTGGTTATATTGCTGGTGAAAGGGATAATACATAGATAGAATTTGGGTATATATCTCAGTATTTTGTTATTTCCTCTGGCCCTTCTTAAAATTTTTAAAAAGCAATGAAGTTGTATTGATATGATAACAAGAATTCTGCATTCCAAGAAGAGGATTTTTGTGAGTTTGTGTAATTTATCAGCAGGGGAAATTGAAGTTACTAGAACCATATAATACTAGATATATCTGCAACCTTAATTTCAGATCAACTGAAGTGATTCTTATGTGGAAAATACATTTGGGATCAATATCCTGAAAGTCATTGTTAATTTAGATTTCCATATTTTTCTAGAGAGTAGACTTCACAAATGTGTTCCTATTGTTGATTTTTATAATGAATAAAAGAGTTTTGTTTTGGTTTTTTACAGTGGTTAGACTTTTAAAATTTCTATTTTGCCATCTCACTAATGTTAGGAAATTACTTTGGAATTTAAAGAAAATATAGGAAGAATTCCTTTCTTAAGATTTCTACCCCCTTCATTTCAGAAGAAATAAGAATAAGTTTTGCGTATGTGCCAAAGGACAGTATTGATTTAAGTTTGTTGTAGTATCGTTTACTATAGTTAAAAAAGATTGAGTTAATTTTATTTGGCGTACACTATAAACTGTTGTGCTAATAAGAGGGATTAAGTTTTGATATTTGTCTTAATGATGTATTTCCTATATGTAAACTTTCTTTAGGAACAGTATTAGCATGCAATTCAGTGTAAATACATAGTGACTTGCCTTTTCCCCAGCTGTGTATAATGAAAATAGCAAATATAAACATTTTGCATTTTTTCCATTTTTATTTACTTCCAAATGTTTTCAGAATCTTAAAATTTTTAGCTTGAGGGAGTCTTACTCATTTTATTGATAAGTAAAACCCAGTAGAGGTTTAGAGCCTTATATGCTTGATAAGAAAATGAAGACTTAGATACCTTGCTTTTGCTTACACAGCAGGACAAGAAGCATGCTTTGACAGTTTTCTAGCTAACTTCTTCACCAGTGGCAATTAAATTAGACACTTTGATGTGCATGTATGCATGCACACACGTAATACTTAAGAGGATCTGGTTAGATCTGGTTAGATGATTTATAGTCTTTTTCTATCCTCCCATGCCTTATTTTCTTTTCTATTTTACTTTAGATTGACTTTAGTGAAATAATTCTGTGAGTTTCTGTTTGAGTGAAGCATTTTGAAGATGGATTTATAATGAAGGTGGCATCATTATTTCTCACCTCACAATTCATTCTGCATATCTGAGATATTTTGCAAACAGTTTGAGCATTCAGTAGTAAATATTCACAAAACTCTGATGACTGAAGATGCCAACCAGTAGGAAGAAACTTCTTTGCCTCTTGCTGTTGGGGTTTCAAACTGTTAGTGTTGTGTTTTTGTAAGTCTGTATCTCACACACTTTGAGCATACTACCAGGAGGGACCAGTCCTTGAAGAAGGATATCATGCTTGGAAGGGTAGAGGGTCAATGGAGAAGATGATGACCCTGCATATAACACAGTGACTGTGGCACATGGATTGGTGTGTCAGAGACAGTGAGGTTGAGTTAGGCTAGGGCAAGTTTGGAGGCCATTGTTCATAGGGTCAGTACGAGTCATGGTCAACTCAATGGTATATAACAGCAACAACAATAATGAGACTTTCTCTAATGAAAGCATGCTTTATTAAAAAAAAGTAAAAGGTTTTAAATTCTGCTTATATGTTTAAATTTCTTTTTAGGGTGACAGTCATGAGCCTTTAATATTGATAATTTTATAATTTCATTTATAATATATAATTTTACTCATTATACTTTTCCCCCCTTATTGATAGGAAGATAAGTTTTATGGTTCATTTCTATCTACTTTGGGCAGTATACACCAAGAAAGTATAAAGCCAGCCCCAAAGCAAAGCCAGTGCCTTTGAGTTGTTTCTGCTTCATAGTAACCTTCCATCAGGTTTCTGTAGCTGTAAATGTTCACAGGAGGAGGCTGTCCAACACTTAACACACTGCACAACTAAAGTCCTAGGAATGTACTGTGTAGACCAAATTCTTATGATCAGCTGAAGCCTTGAAGTGTATTACAATAATTGGTGTTCTTTTAAATGAATAGTGTTCTCCATTTTGTGTTAAGCACCCCACTTTTAATCTTGCAATGCAGTGTCCTTTGGGAGAATGTGCATGAGCTTTGTTCTCTGTAAAATTTCTGGTTCTCTCCTTAATAGTTGTTGGCAAACTTTGGCTCCCTTATCTATAGTGTCAGGTAATAATAATTAGTGGATGTGTGGAGTCCTATTCAACAAATAACTGACTCTTGTTGCTTGCTAGATTTTTAGAAATTAGAATATGAATACTTTTGAGCTGTCATTTGACTTTTTATACATATTCCTAGCAAAAAAATTGAAAATCTTTCTGAAAAATTATGAAAAGAGCATAATTTTGCAGTCATTAATCTTTTCAGGCAAAATATTTCAAAGGAACAGTTTGTATATATATTGGATTCAGTTTAATAGCTCTTCTACTATTTTTACTTGGAGATTTTCCATCTACTGCATTGGTTTCCTGCTACATTACTTAGTGTAATGCTCTTCTCTGCCCCTCAAACTTAATTCATTTTCTGAATAGGTAACACAGTCCCATCATTCAGACTTCAAAAGGTATGAAAGAATGTATAGTGGAAAAGCCTCCCAACCCTGTTCTTACTTACTGCACCCTTCTCCAAAAGCACCCAGTCATAGTCTTCTTATGAATTAGCCATGTTGTTGTGAGCTGTCAAGTTGGAACCAACCCGTAGCAGACCCTCTGGCAGGTTTTCTGAGGCAGTAAATTGCACAGGAGGAGATTGCCCATTCTTCTCCCTCAGAGAAGCTGGTGCATATTTGGTATTGTAGCGCAGCTTCTTGCCATTAGGCCACCAGTGAATTAGGCAGTGATTTTTTTTTTTTAATTTATATTCGTTTCCATACAAAATTTGTATACATTGTGTTTCACACTTTCCTTCTTTTTTTTTAAACATTGCGTTTCATACAATTATTCCTTTTCATTGTGTTTTATAAAAATAATCACCATTGGAAGGTGCAGAGATTTTTTTAAAACCAGGGATTTAATGTTAAAATGTATTGAACAAGTTTAAATTTTGTATACATTTCACACATATTCTATGGAGAAAATCCTTTAGTATTTTTCAGATTCTTAATTTAATATTTTTCAGATTCTTAAAGGAGTGACTAACATAAATAAGCATTGATATAATTTGTACCTAGGACTATAATGGATGCTTTTGAGGCAACTAAATGTGTGTGTTTGTGGCTTTAAAATATAAACTTTGCTTTTGATGTGGAAGAACATCTTTAAAAGGTATTAAAAGTGCAAACTTTGAAACTGTGGCAATTAATAGACCCCCCCCCCCTTTTTTAGGGAAAGAATGATAAGATTTCACAAAAAACTTAAGTGCCCAATGACATCTTTATATGTGAAATTTTACATGAAGTTGTGGTTAAGAAGTATTTCATTTGCTTTTAG